TGGAACAAAATAATGAGATGGGAATCTTGGGATAAAAGAATCGCTAATAGCACTGAAAGGCATTCCCAGCCATGCTACACATTTTGATAAATGACATTGTCATGTTTCCAGTGGATCAGATGAGGAATGGTGCCATACTTGGAGAGATGCTCAAGGAAGAAGAGGTTTTTTCTTAGCCAGAAGTAGATTTTCATTTATTTATTTATTGAATAATGGCAAAGAAATAACAGTGCAGACTACCAGTTAGATCAAGAATTTGAGATATATGGACATTTGGGATGTTTTACCAATTGGAAGTATTCCTAGAAACTGATCTTCTTTTGGATTCAATTTCCTCTATTAAAAAGCAAGCAAGCTAACAACAAAACACAACACACACACACACACACACAACAACAAACAAACAAACAAACAAAAAAAACCCAGTTCAAACAAATGAAGGGGGAAACTGGTAGAAACTTGTGCAACCTCTACTCTTAATGTTCATCATAAAGTAAATAAGGTAAATAAGGGTAAAGACAGTTGTGAATAGAGCTAAAGGAGTACAGTAAGAGTAAAGGATTACAGTAAAGGAGTAAAGAAAGAACAAATGCTGTTGAGAGTAGGTTACAGCTGAGAGGTAACAAAACTGCTAGAAGGCAGCAAAACTAGGGTAAAAATCCTGTCTGGGAATGGGGACCAGGCAGCAAGGAATGATGCAAGTACATGTATCTTAATGCAAGCCAACATATACTGCTGATACATTCCTATGTTTCTGAGAGGAGGGCTGACATGTTTTTGTTTGCCAGTTATCTTAAGCTACGTAAGATTTATCCTTAATGTTTATGATATATCATTCTATGTTAAGTGGATGCAATTTAGCTTAAAAATAAACACCTTTTACATAGGAAGGTTTTGTAAGATTAGTAAGTGGATCTAAGTGTTGGAAAATACTTTTTTTTAGTAATACAACTGTGTAAGTGCATGCATCTGTCTGCCTGGATTCAAGTGGAGTGTTCAGATCCTAAATTTACAGTGAAACAGTGACAGAAAATAAACAAAGCCAATGCTGAACACACACTTTGCTTTATGCATTTGTGTTTGCATAAAACACAGAGGTCTGACAGCTGTGTTCAGTAGGCAGAAAAACAAGTAAGTTGAAGCTCTCAGGGTGTAGTCGTTGCATTCGGACAAGTGGGATTCCTGCAAGCTAAACTGCAGTGTATACCAGCTAGAAATCACAGGATGAAAGGAGTTAAAATGCTCTCTGGGGACTCTGGTATGACACAGGCACTCAAAGCATGTCTTGCAAAAGCTGAAGGCCACTTTTCGTGCTGAGGTAGAGCTAAGTTTCTGCCCCGTTTGAAAAATGTCAAGAGAATTGGTATAGATTACGTGATGCCATGCAGTGCTTACACATTTTCTGTAAATCCCTGACAACTGTATCTATCTAATGAAGCAGGTTCCAGCTATGAGACTTGGGAAAACTAATGTAAAGAGAAACGGAAATGGGCTGGTGATATTCATCTTGTTCCACCTGCCTCAAGTGATTCTGGTTGGAGCCATTTGCACATCTCTGTCTCAAGTGCTCTGTGAGAACAGACACCAGTCTGATTCTGGAAAAAATTTGTAGGCAATAAGAGTGAGGATAATGCTTTCTGTGGAGAGGTCTTGATGAGTCCTCTGTCAGAGGACTTTTGTACTATGCCAAGATAGTTTTCTTCTGTTTGTAACAGCACTGTTTGTCATCTGGGTTCTGAGGGCATGTAGCAAAGATGGAGCAGTTCAGGCTGAGAGGACCATGATGGAAAGTGATGGAAAGCAAGAATGAAGTATGGGTTGGTCTTTGTGTCAGGATTACTGAGTATGGGATGAAAGGAATAATAAAAGCAGTTTTGGATGTCTAAATTGATAGACAGGGCTCATATTAATTCCTATAAATAAGAACAAGTGATATATACTGAAAGAAATACCTGGAAGGAAATTATAACACTTTGAGGTTATTTCTTTGACTGATTTTTCATTGAGTTTATGGCAAATTCCACTGCCTCACTCTGAATTAGTGTGGCAATGGTTTCCATTTAGTAGCTTAACAGCAAAAAGAATGTCTCTTCCCAGATCTTTCCACCATGACACAGAAACCATTGATTTTTCTCTGCCTTAGCAAGGTAGAGTTTGCCTGTTATATTGTGTGAACCTTTGATATACATTAGCCACAGAAGCTACAGCAGCTAAAACTTGTGGTAATGCAGGTGTGTTATCTCTGGATGATGTGGTAGATAAGTGGTGCAACTGGCACACAGGGGCTGCACTTTACAGTCACTTAGCTGGCATGCAAACATGGTAGGTCATAAAGCAAGTTGTCACTCTTTGCTAGAATCACAGAATCATTAAGGTTGGAAAAGACCTCCAAGATCATCTGGTCCGACCATCAGCCTACTGCCAATATCACCCACTAAACCATGTCCCTAAACACCTTAAGTTCTAGCATTATAAACAGTTAGTTGTCTGTCCAAGCTTGCAAAAATAAATAAATAAATAAATAAATAAATAAGTATTCTGTCATATTTGCTGAATATAAACTTTGGATATGTTTTATTCCTCTTTATAATAGCATCACTGTCATGTCTCTCAGTGTGACTTAAGAAATGTGTGCTTATGATGTACAGTATGGTGGTTCAATAAACCACCATCAATAAGAGGCAGAAAATATTCCTGTAAATATTCCTCTTCGCTTAGTGAAAACTTAAACGAACAGCCAAAAATAAAACCCACCCACCCATACATCAAGTATTGTATTAGGTACTATATATATTTTGGAAAGGTCAGTGTAAAGAATTGCAGTAAATCTAGGACCACCTTCAAACAGATTAACCTCCAGGTAAATTTGTGAGCAGCAGTGCTCTCTATTAACAAGATGTCTCTGAAGGCCTTGGGCTGGCCAATAGGAGACAACAGTCCCAGGGATTTAGGTAAAATTTAGGTCAAATGAATGATCTTTAAAGCATATTTCAGAAAATGCTCTAAAAAGTAAATCCAATTGCAATGCAAGCTACAGCTCAGCAGATTGCCTGCCCTATGCTTCACCATGAGAAAGTCATCTGAAGAGCAAGCATTTTTATTTAGAGGAGAAACTAAACAATTGGGAAAAACTACATAATTTGAAGCTTTTTTAAGATTACGGGCTACGACTTCTTGATTAATTTACTGAAATTAAAAATCGGTAGTTAAGTGTGGTGTTTAAAAACATGATATTGAATATTTTATTTAAAAGATATCATAAGAAAATGGCCAGTGCTTTCAAATTAAGGAATTTAATTAAAAAGGAAAATGTGAAACAAATGTTGTGACCTTTTTATTTGCCCCACTCCCTGTTTCTGGATGAATTTATGTGCTCATGTTATCCCAAGTTCCCCAGTTGCAGTCCCCCCAGAGTTCATTTACTTTACACAAAAGCTTATTTGCCCAGCTCTGATGCCAGCCTTAAATCTCACCTTTTTTGTAGCAGGGCCTTGGAAAGAGACCAAATTGCTAAAGCTTGTGAGAGTCAGAGAAAGTAGCTTGCTGAAATACTGTCTCTCTCTCTCTTTCTCTCTCTATTTCTCTCTCTGTCTTTTTCCAGAGAAGAAGTGCTAATGCTGTGATGCCCAGCCTGTGGTGTACAGATGGTGATGGTCAGTACAGTTAGCATGTTGTAATAACATAATATTTCATATCCTGACCTCTGAAAATTGATGTCATTTATATTCTGCACATGGTAGATTTAACTGTTTCAAAAAGGTTGGAGGATTACCTGAAACATTATATTCAATATCAATATGTGTTTCAGACCAGTAAAACAAAAAGAGAGATTTTACAGATAAAGCTGAGTTTTTCCAGAGAGATTAATTATTTTTATGTCCCTAGTAGAGAAGATATAATATACGGAAGGGGCCTACCTTTTTTTTCCATTTGAGAAAGTGAGAAGTATGTCTCTTCAAAGTGTCTCCAATTTGAGACTCAATAAAACCAAGCCAGATTTTGCAACCAGATTTAACAGACCACAATAAGCCTAGACATATATTTCCTACAATGTTACAAAATGTTGGCATTATTTAATAGAACACATAGCATTTATGCTTATTGCAATGACCATCCCTTTACTTGCGTGGTGCCAGGCACACACACTGTGCTTTGTGTACACCTATTACTAATAATGCGTTTTGAAGTGGTTCAGGACAGGGTGCAGAACCTGTTCCTGTGTTAGATCTTACATGCAAAGGTCTTGGCTTAATCTCCCTGTACACACCTGAGTGTTTCTACACAGCCAATGCATGCAAATGAAAGCAGGTGATTTTACTGCCATCATTCCTCCATCAGTGCTCCTGAAACAGAGAAGGAGGCAAAATGAAACAGAACCTAGGAGTGAGTTTTCAGTGACAGGTTCAATCAGCGTGTTGCTAAGATGGCTTTGAGTCCTCCCTTTCTCTTTGCTTTCGACCAATGTAGCTGGACTGTGTGAGCTGTTTTGGCTCTATGTGCAGAGCTATAAAATGTATGACATTTAATAATTAAAAGTCTTCTACCATCTTCTACCATTTGCAGCAGAGGTACCGAGTTGAAATGTCAACAGCAGCAATCCTCACAGAAAAGAAGTAATAACCGAATGCTTTTTTCACACTCTAGGATCTGAATCCAGGAGCTGCATCATTTAAAAGCTGTGCCTCCCAAAGGCCACTGTGAAGTCCATGTAATATACAGAGTGAATGGCAGTCAGACTAAGCACTGACAGGGTAAAGTAAATGAAAATAACCAAAGGAAACAATATAGTACAGTGCAACATACAGAAAATGAAAATGAAAATATGTGAGAATTCATTGTATATGCTAAATTATACATATTGGTGACTATTTAACATCTTGTGTCTGTCATGTATTTGTTTTATTTACTGTGAAAGCTAGAAAGGAAAACGTTCATAAAGTATTTAAGAGTCGGTCTAAGTGGAAAAAATGTTTTCCCAGGATAATGGACTCCTCCAGCTATTAGGCAATGAAGCAAAGTAGAAACATTTATTTTTCCAAGCAGAAGGCATTGCTTCTGAGATAAATCTCTACGATAATGAACATAAAGCAGACATACAATATAATTAACCCAAAGGAACCCAGTTGTGCACAGTGTGTACTGAATGAGCAGTGACAGTAGTGGCCTGACTCCAAAGCATCACCGTGGGGCTTGGGTCCCCCATTTGCAGCAGGGCTTTCCGTGGTCAGCAGAGGCAGCAATCTCCAGCTATGTATTTACTCTCTGAGAGTGACACTGTTAGAAAATATAGCTTCCCTTTTTAACAGAAGTGGAGTTTGGTAAGGGGCAGGTGTTGATAGACTGCTCTTTCTGCACAAACGTCCTTTATTTGTTTCCTACACAATAAAGGCTTTGCAGTGGGAGAAACTTCTAATCCTGCTTTCCAGTGATCCTTATATTGCTTTTCCCTCCAGTTAGTTTTGATGCAATAGCTGCCTATACTTGTTCCCCCCAAATTTCCAAACATAACCGCAAGGAGTTTATAAATTCCCTCCTCATGCACCTCTTGTGCTTTACTCTGGGCCAAATTAACACTTTGTTTTCCTGCTGATTTCTCACACCTTGTGTCTCAACATGCTGCACTCAGATTCAACATAATTTTGATGGCACAAACAATTTGAAAATCTCCCTGGCTTCCCTACCTTTCTCACACTTGCTTTCTTCAATATTTGTTCAACATTTTCAATATTCCTTTAAAAAAAATCTCATTTTTAAATGTCATCTCTCGAGAGCTTTTTAACCCCCTGAACTTGTATTTCATCATCAATTTCAGAAATATTTAATTTTGCCTTAGTAGTAATTCCCTTCCATTCTTTCAGGAAAAGAGTCACCAACCTGAAAGTGTAAAGAGGTAGAAGCATTTCTAATTACTGTATAAAACACTTCATTAGGATATTATCATAAGGAAGTAACTTGAACTCAAATACATAAGTACACAATCTGGTGATACTTGTAGAAAACAACAACAACAAACCAACAACAAAACAGGATTAACTTCAGGAGCTCAGAATGAAACGCAAGCCTTTGTTATTGCAGGCACTAGCTCATTTGCTTGGGCAGATCAGGCTGAACTTGTCACAGCTTCCCTTGATGATATGAAATACAGGTACTTGATGCTGGGGCTATTTGATCTTAAAATGTCACCAAGGCTATTTGTTCCAGGTCATATCACTTCAAACAAAGTATTTTAAACTCTTCTCCCTCCTTTCTTCTTATCTGATAGGTGGATATCTTTGCTATTGCGTATTGTAAAACCAGCAAATGTCTCTTGTTCTTTCATCTTAAATCACTGCTTTCCGAAGTTGATACAATTGTCTGTGTTGAGAACTGGATACAATGGCTACCTGTAATATGTATAATAGCATTAGTAAATAAACACTGCCAGACAGACCCAAAGTGCATTTAATACTTAACATTTTCATAGCCATTGCTCTGTCTCATGGCCACATGCAGAAATAGCTGGGGCTTCTCATTACATCTCTGTTCTGCTTAACTTCTGTATTTGATAGCTGGCATTAAAGTTATGTTAAAATATGACAAAATAGGATTCTGGTATTGGCTTATCCAACATTACAAGGATATCCAACATTACAAGGATCTTTTCAGTATTTTATATCAGATTAATTTATCTGATTCAATCTTATTGGCAATGGGAAGATTTAAAAATGTATTCATATATCAAATGCAGATACTCAACTGTGCTCTGCTTGCCCTAAGGCCTGCGCTGGAAGTGTTGGGTAGCAGTTTTAGATGGAGATGGGGGAGCTGCATGAAAGCCCAGCTCAGACTTGAAAAAGTGTGTGGTAATCCTCATGAGGCTGGTGTGTATTGGTTACAGGTACTGGATGAGACATATGTACAATACTGCTGTTTGCAGCGTGGGTTTACCACCTGAGGACTCAGTGAAGCTGGGGAGACAGTGCTGTTGTGAATAGATGAATTGGTGAATTGGTGAGCAGCATTTGGAGCAGGCATTGAAATATTCAGGGGCATAAAGCCAAAACAAAAACATCCCCATCTAGCTGGAGGCAACAGAAAGATTTTGGGAAAAGATAAACGTTCTGAATCTGTTACAGGTCATGCTGCATCGGTACAGTGCAAGCTATAGAAATCCTTAGAAATCATGTATCTTTATGTGGTTGTCCAATCTGGACTTTATATTCACATTCAAACCTGTGTTTTGAGTACTTCCCCTCCCCTCATTTAAGATGAGAAGGTGCAAAGAGGACGGAGCCAGGCTCTGTTCAGCAGTGCCCAGTGCCAGGACAAGAGGCCATGGGCACAAACTGGCACACAGGAAGCTCCCTCTGAACATCAGGCAGCACTTCTGTGCTGTGTGGATGATGGAGCACTGGCACAGGTTGCCCAGAGTGGTTGTGGAGTCTCCTCCTTGGAGATCTTCAAAAATCCACCTGAAGGTGGCCTTGCTTGGGTAGGGGATTGGAGCAGATGTCTCCAGAGGTCCCTTCCAGCCTCAGCCATCCTGTGAGGACTCACCCCTTTTAAACTCACAGTCAGGTGTCTCAACATTAGGTCAAATGAACTTTCAACAATATAAATTAGTGATTTGGCTGAAAATCAGAGGTTAATTTAAACAAATATTTGGTAAGATTATGATTACTGTCTATACAACTGAGAACTCTGTGATTTGAAGATTGTTACATAGGTGAGAGGAAGGAAATGTCTCCATATGTATGCTGTCTTCATTTAAGGAAATCTAAACTATACTTGAGGCCACTAGAAGTGAACATTGCAAACCTGCACTCATTTAAAGGAAGCCCAGGAAAACAAATGTGTCCTGTTGTAATCATCCTTACCTGCTGTTTCAGATTTTTTCCCCCGTGTAAATACAAAATAAGAAAAAGTTCATATCTTGCAGACATATTATTTTAGTGGCACTCACTGACTATATTTAAAAAGCTGTGCAAGCTGGTAATATCTACACAAGGGAGAACAAAAGTTTAAAACCATAATTACATTGCCAAGTCGTTTCCTGAGGGGCTTGTAGGGTGGCCAGCAAAGGCTCCCACAGATAAGTGAAGAAACACTGCTCTCCGCTTCCTCACGATTACACGTCTTTTGTTTTGTCTGGCTGAGGTTATGATTATTATTTCCACGGTGCCTGGGAGAGCCAAGCCAGGCTGGGAATCCTGTTGTTTAACTGCAAAGAGAGAGTCAGAGAGACAACACCGGTTCCAGAGCACCTGTTGAAAAGAGATTACATTTGAAGGATGAGCAAGGGTCACTTCCAACACTGGCGGCTGAGCATGCTCAAATACACCCTCACCAATACACTTACTGTTCAGCTCAAACAGGCATTTTCCAGGCAAGTAAACAAACACGTATATTCACATCAATATACAGATCCATGGTCTGTCTCCTACTTCTGAAAATTTGGCTCTGTGTACATGGAAGTAGAAAACAGCAGCTGTGAAGGAGGGAATTTGGAGTACAAATGAACACCAAAGCCAGCTGTAGATTTGCATTCTTTGACATCTGGTGCTGAGCAGACACTGGGGAATTCTGTGACAACAGGAGACTTTATGCATCTGTCAGCTAAATCTAGCATTTCTCTTTGGGACGTTTGCATGGATGAGGTTGATCTCAGAGAGCTGTTTTAGGCCAGAACAAAATAAAGGAGGAGGACTGTGTATGATTCAGACTCTCAATTTGTATGCAGAGCTGGCAGGTTGCAAGGAGCTTGCCTTGAATTGGGATTGCACATCTGTTCTGCCAGAATTTGCAAGATAGCTTCCACAAAATGCCAGTGTATTTGATTTCAGCAATGCTGTGACTTGGGGCTCCATTACAGCCTTTTGGTGCATAACGAAAAAGTTAGGGGTGTGTGTGTGTGTGCATGTGTGTGGATGTGGGGAATCCCATTAAAGGAGAGTGACCAATACTGTTTAAAAGAAGGATTTTCAACACTTCTTAAGATCAACTGGCATATCATGATAAGCCCAAATATTCAAGGAAAAGAAGGGCTGTGACCATACGATATCATCCCTTGAATTAAAGTAATTCTGTTCTTACTTCTTGCAATTTGATTTAAACTGGAGTCTTTTTGTAATGTTAGCAGGAAAAACACAGACTTCACAGAAAAGCATTGAACCTCTTCCCCTCCTAACCCTGGATAATCGAGGGTGGTTGTAGACTGACCCATGGTGGAGATGCTCTGAAATCTGTGGCTGCAACCTTTCCACCTTAGACATCTGAGAGCACACAGTGATCAGCAGTGGGGCTAATGAAGACTGCCCTTTCTCAGTGTGTGCACGCTTCCCAATCCCTGCTCTGCCCTAAAAATGATTGGCAGTGCAGAGGATGAATTAAGCCTTCCTCCTTCCTTCTTTTTCTTCTCAGACAGGCATGTGTTAACTTGTGCTGTTTGAATTGCTTATGTCTGGGGATGACCCCTGTCCCAAGTGATTCCTGCAGCAGAGGGAATGCCAACGAGCTTTTTAGAGCTGCTGGTTGTAGGCATGTGGGGGGGTTCCTCAGGTACCAGTCAGCAGGACCCTTGTCCCCATTATTTGATCACATTAATCAAGTTTGAACCATTGACAAATACAGTGACTTAAGAAGGACTTGAGTTACTATTTTTTAATGAAAATTGCTATCATGTTCTTGCTGTGTAAATGTGAAGAAATACCCCAACTGTGTTGGCTGCCAGTTGTCTCTTTAAATAGTATGTGTTGTGCTACACATGGTGGTGGTGAGTGGTTCTCTAATTCAGCCCCCAAGTCCCTCAATTATGGCTTATTACCCCATGAAGAATAAAAATGAGCTAAAACTCTTAAGTATACCCTTTTAATGACAGCTAGAAATGTCCATATTACTTCAGCAGTGCTGTAATGGAATCTGGTGTGCTGTATAAAGATCCACAATTTTCCAAAAAAATACACTCCTGTAACTTTGAAGGAGAGACAGGTGGAAGTTTATCAGAAGGAAATAGGCTTTGCTGACAGCTCATGACTGACAAAATGGTGAAACCCAATTTCTGTGAAATTCTCTGTTGGTTATAAGTCAGGCATGAGAGAAACCTTGCTCCCTTCAGATGACTGCCAAGTTTTTATATTGGATACAGATGCAGCCTTTTGAAGACAGAATGCATTTGTAGCATATGACATGCCTTCCACTGTTACTAATTCCTCTCCACCAGGAGGTAATAGCTACTTTTGTTTGTATTATGAAGTGTTTGGTATATCAGTGCGTGGTGTTTGTGAGTGTGTCCACATGTGTGAACGTAGCCCTTGTAATTAGTATGTAAACTGTGGCCACTACAGGTGGTATTTTAGCCATGCAATTAATTAAGTCCAGGCTCCTCCTAACACACAACCCCAGGATATACACCCACCAACCTTTCTGAAATGCTAGATCACAACACTAACATGCCTCAGCAAGGGGTGGGCACTAACCTCATGCTAGACTTAAATCATTCCAGGCAGTCTGTTTTGAATTTCCAAATGTGCTGTCCTGTTCTAATGAGTTAATTCATTTGGTATCCATTTCCTTCTGTCAGCTGCTTTGGGAAAATAGATTGCGTATTGTTATCTTATCCTTGTCCATCCTGTTAATTATTGAGGAAACGCAGCTGAAGATTATCTGGAGTTTTCTATGGCAGAGGTTGACCTGTGGCAGTGGGACAATGATTGATTACATCTTGAAGGAGTCACAAATTGCAAAATGAGTATTCATTTTATTTGCTGTCGTTAGCATGGTGTTTAAAAATGTTTTCCTTCTTTCATACAGAGAGACAAAAACAGAAGTGTAATATTAGAAATTGCATAAGATAGTCCATCCCAGTACATCAATGCCATCCACCCGATGAGGGTGGATATACTAACATACTGCAATTTCCACATTTGCCAGCAGCACATTAGAAGTCTCCTCTATTCCTTTCTTGCTTGTCTATAGTCATTAAATTGACCACACCATGGGAATTCACATTATATTCACTCATAGTGCTGGCATAAGGCTGGTGAGGCATGAGGACACAGTGCTTCCACCCCACATCATGCTCGAGCTTTGGACTCACAAGGCTGAAGCAGTTACCCCAGTGATGCTCCTGCTCATTGAGACCCAACCTTATCCTGTGATTGGCAAGGGCAGCTCCCCTGCTTCCCAATGCTGTGCCAAATAGCAGTACCTGCACCCTCTGTGTTATTCTGGTGAGAGGCACAATGGTGAACTGACCCTGCAGGAGCTTCATTAAAAAAAAAAAATATATATATATATAGCTGGGGTTCTTCTGATTCCCTTTTTAAAAATAAAGAAAATTCCACAGCTGCTGTGCAACATGAGCTATTAATTGCAGCCTTCCCAGCTCTTTCCCATCCCTCCACTACTTCTAGGAGCTTCCATGTTTATTGTGCACACCTTCCTCGGGTTCCTAGCAGCATTTCAAATCTGTGGATAGTCCAGAAACTAATTTCTAGAAATGCCTGGTTATCTTTGCTCCTCGGTGCTCTGGTCATGTTACCCATGTCAAAATTTTTGCACTGAGCTGCGCGCTGAGCCCACTGTCGCACAGAGCACAGCATTGCTCGTGCCCATGCTCTCCCTTTTCTCCAACCACAATTAGATCATCTCAAAATATCTGCACTGCTCAGGGGCTCTAGATTTCATGTGAGGCTTCACAGATTAATTTAGCACAACTAGTTTACCTTGGGATTTAAACAAGCTACTAATTTAACAGCCCTGAATCTTTCCTGCTGTCCCTGTGCTGAAGTCCTATGCTTCCCATAGGATCCGTGGGAATAAAGAGTATATAAAAAGAAAAAGAAGCATGAGATTCTTAGCCTTTTAGCACTTCATCTCCCTGTGACTTTCAGACAGTTCTGACTTGCACACTGGAGAGACTCTTTTTTTTTTTTTTTTTTTTTTTTATAAAATAGGAAACAGATTGAATGTGCAGGCTTTCATTGATCTCTGTGCAAGTTCACCTCTCTGAAGAAATCCCCAAAGAGTTCAATGCACTGCGCGAGGCGTATATTGGACCTTGTACTCAAGTCACTCAAGTCTGTTCTCTCCTGCACTTAGTTTCTGTTCGGCAGGTGGTGGGAAGACCTCTTTATTTTCTCTTACTGTGTTTTTAAGGATTGCAAATGGTTTTGACCATCCTAGCCCTCTGTTAATGCAGGCCACCGAAGTGGAGCCCTGAGATGCTCTTTCATCCTGAGCAGAGAGCAGAATGGGAGCAGAGCCTGGTTACACGAGACTGAGGAAATCTGTTCTCAGAGGAATCCTCCGCAGCTGCCTGCAGCATTGCCTGAGCACAGTTTTCACCAGCACCAGGATGATGCATGAATCCAAGCTGGGCCAAACAACTTTCACCCTGTACACAACTGAATTTCCAGTTTTCCTGAGCATTATGTTCCCTCTGAGGTACCGGTGGCTCCTGGATGGCCCCGCATGCCTTGGGTGGGCTGCCTGGCTCTTCTGGTGGCCATGGGTAGATCAGATTTTCCTTGCTGTTGAAGAGCTGCAGCTGCACATCTGCAGGAGACTCCAGGGAGAAATCAATCTCAGTTTGATTTTCAGAAATAGACTCACAAATATAAGATTTGTGGAAGAAAATGCTGGCCAGGCTTTACTTAAATTCCATCATTATTTTTACAACTTTGTCCAATTTTAATTTAAAAAATATGTCCTGTGTTCTCTATAATGTAAATTGGTGCAGTCCTACTGAAGGCTCTGGAATTACATCAAATATGCTAGCAGACAATTTGTCCCATGAAGGGAAAAGAAGCCTCTATAATGCTATGCTGTCAACATCAGCATTCATTTTCCTTATTGTCTGTACCAAGGGATCATTTTCTTTAGAAAGAACTCTAACTGCAATTCTTACTATCAAGAATATTGCTTTTAAATAGAAAAATAAAAAGTAAACTATGATAATTTTCAATAACTATACTACGATAGCCTTAATTTTCAAGGAAAAACATTACCTAAACTCAATTTCAGATAATGTTCTATTATGTGAAAACCACTGTTGATATAATAACTTCTATTCTAGGTTGCTAGTAAAGAGAAGAACAATGTGACCCATTTTAAAACTGGCTCACAGAAAAATATTAGCAAGCCATTTATCATTTCTGTTTAATTTCGTTGATAAGAACCATCTGATAGAAACATTTCTTTGTTGCAAAACTAACAGCAGCATAGGACATATCTGACCGTGACACATGAACTTTGCTGTGGTAAGAAATGGATTTTGTGTTTGTTGCCTGTTCAGTTTGAAAGAGAAGTGGAAAAAAAAAAAAAAGGGGGAAAACACTCACCTTTGAATTCTTCAGTAGATGGAGCCTGGATTTTTAGTAGTCTCCAAGTCTCCAAGTAATAGGCGAATCACTCTCCCATGACTGGGGTGCTTCAGTGGCTGGGTACAGGCTCTTTGGGGAGGACAGGATAGGAGGATGAGGAAAGGCAGTTGCCCTGTATTTGAGAAAGAAGCAGGAATGCAAGGAGCTCTGCCATGAGCCAGCTGAGAGCTGGTGGGACTGGACTGGCTGGCAGACCATGGGTAACATTGAGTGCGTGTCTGCTCCAGACTTCCTGATAAGAAAGAAGCAGCAGATCGTCAGGCCTTTTCCAGACAAACCGAAGAAATCCCTTCTTCACTGGCCCTGGTCCTCTTGGGAGCCTTTAGCAATGCTGATATCTCCTGGAGGGGGCAACACAGCAGGGAAAAGCAATGCTGGTTTCTGCAGGGCAATGATGACAGTTTCCTGACATGAGTGATTGATGAGAAGATGAAGTGTGGAGACTGTGCAGGACCATATTTCTACAAATAAATAACTGGATTCACTGGATGTGAATGTCAGGGGCAGCCCTGGTCACTGTGACTGGTGGAGCTCAGGATGCTGAGGGAAGGCGCATAGCAGATTAACAGCCCTGGACATTAGGAGAGCAACTGCTGGCCTATTCAGGGACCTGCTCAGAACAATCTCATTGGAGACCATATTGTAGAGAGGAGGAGTCCAGGAGAGCTGGCTGATTTTCAAGGATTACCTCCTTCAAACTCGAGTGTACCGTCCTTGTATGTAGGCCTACAGGAGGCCTGCATGGATGACATGCATGCTACTGACAAAACTCAAAGGTAAAAAAGAAATATTGAGGAAGTGGAGGTACAGTCACATGGTATGGGAGGAATTAGAGACACTGCCCAGTCGTGCAGTGGTCAGATTAGGAAAGTCAAAGCCCACCTGGATTTGAATCTGGAGACGGCTGTGAAGGGCAACAAGAGAAGTTTATACATGTATGGCAGCTTCAGAAGGGAGGCTAGTGAAAATGTTGGCCTGAAGATTAATGGGGCAAGGGACCTTGTGGCAGAGAACAAGGGCAAGGCCAATGTACTCAGTGTCCATTTCTCTTTGGTATTTGCTGGTATGACCAAACTTCAGGAATCCCAGGCCTCTAAGACCCACAGGAACACCTGGAATGAGGAAGAATTAGCATTGTTGATCCTGATGAGGATCAGGTTAGGGAAGACTTAAAAAACTTAGACACACCAGGCTATGGAACCTGATGGGATGCAACCACAAGTACTGAGCGAGCTGGCTGATGTTACCATAAGGCCACTCTCAATAATCCTTGAAAGGTCATGGAAGTTGGGAAAATCATTCTGATCATTCACTGAATTGGTAGCCTTCTATGACAAAAGAACTAGCCTGGTGCATGAGGAGAAAGCAGTGGATGTTTTTTGTTTTGTTTTTGACATTGTCTCCCTTAACACCCTCACAGGCAAATTCATTAAGTACAGACTAGGTAAGAGGACAGTGACCTGAGCCAAAAACTAGCTGAATTGCTGGACTCAAAGGATTCTTATCAGCAACACAAAGTCCAGCTGGAGGCCACTCATTGTGGGTGTGCACCAGGGTGGGTACTGGGGATGACACAGTATTCATAATATTCATTAGTTACCTGGACAGTGGGACAGAGTGCACCCTCAGCAGGTTTGCAGGTAATACAAAATGGGGAGAAGTGACTACTACACCAAAAGTTCGTGCTGTGATCCAGAGTGACTGTGACAGGCTGGAGAAATGGGCTGACAGGAACCTCATGAGGTTCAGTGAGGGAAAGTACAAAGTCCTGACCCTGAAGAAGGACAGCTCCAGGCACGACTATAGGCTGGGGGGTCAACCAGCTGGAAGGCACCTTTAACAAAAAAGAACTGGGGGTCCTAATGGCCAGCAAGCTGGACATGAGCCAGAAACACAGCCATGAAGCAAAGAAGGCCATCAGCTTCCTGGGCTGCAATAAGCAGAATGCAGAGCAAGAATGGTGATCTCTTCCCCTTGGTGCTGAGGAGGCTGTACCTGGAGTGCTGTGTCTACTTCACAGCTTCCCAGTTCAAGAGAAACCTGGACATACTGGAGAGAGTTCAGCAAAGGGCCACCAAGTCGATGAAGGGACTGGAGCACCTCTCCTGTGAGGAGAGGCTGAGAGAGCTGGGACTACTGTGTCTGGAGAAGAGGGACCTCGTTGGGGAACTCCCCAATAAACACCTGAAGGGAGGTGCAAAGAGGATGGAGCCAGGCTCTGTTCAGCAGTGCCCAGTGCCAGGACAAGAGGCCATGGGCACAACTGGCACACAGGAGGCTCCCTCTGAACATCAGGCAGCACTTCTGTGCTGTGTGGGGGACAGAGCACTAGCAGAGGTTGCCCAGAGAGGCTGTGGAGTGTTCTCCGTGGAGATCTTCAGAAGTTACCTGGGCATGGTCCTGGCCAGCCTTCTCTGGGTGGACCCTGCATGAGGAGAAGTTTGGAACAGCTGGCTTCCAGAGGTCCTTTCCAGTCTCAACCATTCTGTGAAATATTTGCTGATTTCATTTCTAAAATGTTTGTCTGAATAAAGGCCCATATAATAGGAACAGACATAATCACACTTCCTTGCTGTTAATAGGTTCTATTAGAAAGAATTCCCACATAAGTCTTCTGGTTGTAAGTGCACACAGAATCCTGACATGCAAACAGAAAGACAGCAGGGATCTTTTCTCACCTGATGCTGGGGCAGATGGTGGGTGCTTTGCCTCTCCTCACTAGCCACAGTCCTTAGGGTCTGGGCTGTCCCCAGGCAAGGAGCACAGGGAGGATGATGACCTTGGTCCATCCAGAGCACTGGTGAGGAGGAGCAGGATGCTGGTGCTGGACAGCTGGCTCTGCTGGTACTGAGGCAGCTCAGGAGCCCTTCTTTCAAGGAGAACCTGCAGCTGATTTCTCCAGCCTACTTTCTAGACCTTTTGTGCTGATCCTGCAAAGCTCAAAGGGAATAGAGCAGGGCTGGGAATATGTGTGAAAAAATTATCTCCCCCAGCCTTTTTAGGTACTGAATTGAAGGAATATGTAACAGCATGGTATTTGCACCAGTTCCACTGAGATAAAACTGCTTCTGAAAGCAGTTTTTGGTTGTTCAGGAAAACTAATTTTCTTCCCAGGTTTGAATTAAACAAGGTCATTTCATTTTTTTCTTCAGCTTTCTATTATTGTGTTGATGATTATCATCAATGAATTATTTTGAACATCAAGCATACAGAGAAAAGTATTTATTTATTTATTTTTTACATCATACTTTTAATAGTAAATTTTGGTCTTCATTTTTATTAAATGAAGAACCACTACCTACTCTGTTTTAGGATTAATGAATTCATGAGGCTTATTTTCACTGGCTATGAGGGAAAGACAACATTTTAAAGCAAAATGAGGTAGCTGATATCTTTCTTAATGCATTTTTAATGTATGAGACATGGCGAGGAGCAGAAAAACATTCTGTGCTCTGCAATACACTTTGACAACAAAAGAACAGAAAAAAAAAAGTAAGATAAAAACAAGTTAACAGAAGGTATGGAAGAGTGAAAGATACAGCCATGCTATTAGTCTCCAGTTGGATAATTTTATTGGGATTTCCAGCACACAATGAATGAATCAGATGAGCAGTGAGGGGATGAGGATGTTGTGATATTAATAAGAATGTAATTCCATATGAAACTGTCCTTCTGTGATTTATAGCTAATAATATTACTGAAATGAGGAAATGAGGCTAATAAAGGCAATCAATCCTATATTACCTTTTTTTTCGTTGTAAATCTGATTCTCAAAGCATTTCTGATAGAAAAACGACAGATTTGTCTTCTCCTCCCAGCAAGCTCTGCTGAAAAGAGAAGTCCCACTGAAATCAATTGATGAGCAGTCCAGGGAGTACATAAAACTCTGGATGCACTTCTGTTCTGCTTTGCTTCTGTGGTTCCTCTCTGGTGACAATGTCCTTAGAGCCACATTTTCTTTGAGTAAGAAGGCTGCTACAGCACACTTGAAGTGCAATTATAGATCTTACTGATATACCAGCAAACTCTTGTTGCTCTGACAGTTACCTTTGATCTTGCCGACTTGGGTACTGATTACAAAGCTGTGCTGTTCCAATCTTCCCAGATCCCTGGGTATTTACGCATTTAGCTAGGCTGCACTGCACCCCATAGTGCTTGGTTTCTCTGGTATTAGTACTGGAGTAAACCAAAGCAAGGCTAGCTTGATTGTGTCTACCCATGCTATAAGAATACCACAGACTGCAGTGTATCTCCACTTCTGACTGTCATCTTTTCCACTCCAGCATGTCTTCATCTCAGTAACTGAAATCCAGCTGCAGTGAAATTTGGCAGACCTCAGAAAACTCACAGACTCTTTTTCTCTCCATTATGTGCCTTGCCTATTTCCAATGTAGTTTCATTACTTGATTTTCTCAGGAAGGGAGTATGTGATTTAGAGTATTCATATTTATAACATCTGGATGAACACCTATTTTTTCAGAGAAATGTCATGGGATATCTCAAAGAGAGACATTTAAGGAATACTGGAAGTACTTTGCTTTGCTTCAAGTACAGAGTTCACAGTTCTTCTTATGAGAGAACATCTACAGTGAAATTATTAATTTAGAGATAGTGTTGTGGACACTAACGGTTGATCAGCATTTTGGTGGAATGTGAAGAGAAGCTTCTACACATATTTCTGTCCTCAAGCCCAGCACAGTCCTTTCTTGGATTCTGGAAATGGACACCATGCCCATGTAAGTCGATGGCAATAACCTTTTAGATGTCAGTGAGGTAGGATAAGATCTTGTGTAAACAGCCAGTAGTCATATCTTTCCCTTGTCTCATGAACTTTGCTGCTATCTGTTTTAACACCTTATATGTGCACCTCACCCAAATATGTGAGTAGGCACAGATATATGACAGCAAGGAGGTATAATAGTGAAGAAAAAGACGTGTGAATACAAAGTTGGAATGAAAATATGGCATTATGGACAAGATCATACCACATATTTTTCCTGTGCAAGGCTTTTGGGGGAGATCTTAGTTCTAAGCAGCCACTGAGGCTAATGGCATAAACAAGTAGATTACTGGAAATAAAAATGTTTTTGAAATATATGGTCAGAATAACTAAAGTCTCATCTGAACTCAGTGAGAGCAGTCTTAGATATGACATGGGCTGAGGAAACATCAGGGACACAGTAAGAAAGAAGTTGACTACTGATTTCAAAAGAAAAAATGTATATTAAGTTTTGTTAAAAAGAAAAAAGGTTTAAGTTAGAGTTCTGAGTGGTTATTTTTGTTTAAGGTTACTTATGAAAACCACTTAGCACAGAGCAGATTAGACCCTAGCACTGTTGTGCTGTCATCACGGTAAATTCATTAATGCTTCACTGAACTGTTCTAATGCCATTAGACTGCCCAATGTCACATGTGCTGTGTCTATGAATGATTTCTTTGTCTCTCCACTTAGCATGGAAGATGAAAGGCACTGGAACTTAACTGATTTTTCAAGCCAAGAATCTTTACAATTGTAAATAAAATAAGTCCCTTCAACTTAACATTTATGGCCTCCTTTCTTGTGTAGAAACTGATGTTAGTATCAAGAAAAATCAGGTACATAGTGGCTCTTTAGGCTCCTTTTGAAGAAAACCAGGAAGCGAATAAGTCATATGGAGATGCGTTGTATGTATCTTTAGAAAAGCGCTTACTATTTCTAGGAACATTGCTGCTAATGAGAGTGTGAGAGACAGTTTTTCATATGTTACAGCATGCACTGTTGCATTCTCGTCAACTCTGATGGATGTTGGTTCTATGGGTATATAATTCAAACACAGAGATATATGGAATAATATATTAAATAACCAGATAAAGTACTTATATATATATATATATATTTAAGACTAATAATATAAAAAATGCCTGCATTAATAGAATACTATTAGAGGTTTAAAATTTCCTATCTCATAAGCAGGAAACCCCAAAATGGATGGTCTCCATAGACTGTAGCCCTGTCTGAATCTGCATAGAAATACCTTGAAGTAGTAGATCTAAAATATAATCATTCATGACAAACAGTTTTTTAGCTCCTGAACCCAAGGAAGGTCACAATCTTCCTGTCAATAATATTACTTCTGTTAAAGTGAACAGCAATGTAATCTGAGATCTTGATATATTTGGTTCTGTGGATAGAATTTGACTGTGATGTTTTCTCCCTAGGGCAATCTAATTCTCACAGGAAACATTTCCATTTTTCAATAAGGACAAGATTAGGCAGAATACGATCCCCGGTCTCTACAAGACACCATACAAAGGTGAGTACAGAGGAATAAACTGTGTCAATGCCTCTCTGCCCTCTCTTTCCACATCTATCAGTAAAGCTGGTTCGATGTGGGTGGAAACACACTATTCTTTGTAAAGTGCTGGCACAACATGCCCTCATTAGTGGAGTATACCCACTTTTATTTGGCACTCTTGCAGTACCTCATTTAAACACCGTGCTGCAGGGATTTTGTAAGTCTCTGGGATCTTAACTATGAAAGAAGTTATTCTTGTAAATTCCTGTAGCTTCCTGGGCTTGATGCACGGCATTGCTTGGCACGGTGAAAAAGCACCAGCACTCCTGTCACAGAACAACTTGCTTCAACACCATACGCTAGCAAAGAGGCTCTGTGATAAACAAGCTTTTAATTTTGTATTGCAACACTTTCAGTTGATAATTTGCAACTTGACAAAGCTGTGTGTCAATGACTATGCCAAAAGCTCAGCCCTGAACAAAGCCGCTAAAAGAAGTGTGAGTGTAGAGGAGAAAGCACTCATGGGAAGCTGACAGAAGAAGCTTTACAGATGCTTTGATCTGGTGCCATCGGTTTTACTGCTACAGGCATTCTATTTATTGCTAATGTAGAACAGTCCAGGAAGAGCCCCAAGAAACTCTAAATGACATCTTTCAACCTGGGGAGTATCTTTTGTGTCTCTGAACTCCGAGGTGGGAGCTGACAAAGCCAAAAATGCATGGGGACTCAGACCGATCATGAGGAGCATGCCTTCTTGTACAATAAGGTCCCTCTTGATCAAACTGTCATTTAATCAAAGTGGATGGGTAGCCAAACCTCAAAGAGCATCAGTTTTTCTGCAAAAAGCCCCACTGACTTCTCCAATATGACACCAGCCCAAGTGTGTCAGGGATGGGCCATCCCTTCTGTGCGAAGGGAATGTCGGCTGCTCAAGCGCATGTTAACATACCCAAGACAAAGCCTTTCAGTGCCAAAATGAGATGCTAAGTGCCAAGCAAGAATAATAATAAAATTTAAGAGAATTTCAGTTCTCTATGAGAAATATTGTCCCACAGCTAGAAGCCAAAACCAACCTATTCGAGAGATAGTGCTTACACACAGTCAAGCAACTTGTCAAGCACAAAGCACGACAGGAACATAAATAATAGACGACTTTTTCTGCTTACCAGACTGTTGTCTTGTTCCCTGAAACCTTCACAATGATCCTTAACTACTGCTTTGTCTCCTGGTGCTCTTCCTCTGCCCCTTTTCCAGATGAAGAGAGGCAAGCTTATTTGCTTTGCTGATGCAGATATAACAAAGCACACTGTTCTGTGAACTAACTCCCTTCCTGTGGAAAAAAATATTAGGAAGCAGCTGAGGAGATATTTAAGAGTCCTGTGTTTCAGTGTAAAGCAGAAAATGCCTGTTTTCGGATCCTTAAACAGGAGGGTGGAGACTGAAAAATGAAATCTTAGAAGAAAATATCAAAAAAGCTTCTAACAAATTCTTTAGTGAAGAAGCATTCTCTGATGCCTCTTTTTTTTAATATAAAACTGCTGATTTATTATACTTAGTCTGTGAGGAGAATTGATTTGATTGGAGGTTTTCACTGGTTTGGAAACTAGCAGTATCTTTACATTTCTGATTGTGAACTTTTCTGTTTGAGATGTTTCCTTTTTCCTTCCCTTCCCTTCCCTTCCCTTCCCTTCCCTTCCCTTCCCTTCCCTTCCCTTCCCTTCCCTTCCCTTCCCTTCCCTTCCCTTCCCTTCCCTTCCCTTCCCTTCCCTTCCCTTCCCTTCCCTTCCCTTCCCTTCCCTTCCCTTCCCTTCCCTTCCCTTCCCTTCCTTCCTTCCCTTCCTTCCTTCCCTTCCTTCTTCCCTTCCTTCCTTCCTTCCTTCCTTCCTTCTTTCCTTTCCTTTCCTTTCCTTTCCTTTCCTTTCCTTTCCTTTCCTTTCCTTTCCTTTCCTTTCCTTTCCTTTCCTTTCCTTTCCTTTCCTTTCCTTTCCTTTCCTTTCCTTTCCTTTCCTTTCCTTTCCTTTCCTTTCCTTTCATGTGGTTTGGGACAATAAGATAAACCCCTTTATCATATTATCACCCTGAAAGAATACTACTTCAAGAAATCAGTGTACAGGATACCTGATGTTTCCACCCCAACCATTTTAATTTAAAACAAAACAGAGCAAAATCAGTTGCTTCTCCTATATTATCTGCATTGAAACATGATCAATGAACAATAGGAGCTAAAACTGAATGGAAATGTCTCCTGCCCCTAGGTTCCAGCTGAACTGTTTTGAACTGATGAACCAAGGATGTGGGCTAAAGGGGATTTCTAGCAACATTACCTTGTCTCATACTGTCATCCATCTTTTGCTGCCTGGTCTGATTTAAATACTTGCTACTTCAGAATTATTATCTGAAGTTGACCACTGGACTTCGGAACTGTAAAGTGCTTTCCATATCTTTTTGCTTCCTGTTATTTTTCCTTTGAAATCATATAGCTTGTTTTCCATTGTTAAGATTGCAAGTGACATGACAAGAGGAAAAGGGCAGACAAAACTGAAAGAAAATGGGGAGCTCTTTAATTGCTATAAAGCATGGCAAAGTATCTCAACTCTGCAACAGAAAAGAAAGGAGCTGTTGGACCTGTTGTACTGAAAATCTAGTGCAGTGAATCTAGTGTTGAAATTAAAAAAATATGACCCTGAAATGAAAAAATAATTAGAAACAAATACTATAATGAGTGGAAAAAGGATTAAACAAATATTGATATGGAGTAGAAATTGTGGACGTTATCTGGAGAGGAGTCTGGTCTGCTTACATCATGTGTGGGAAAAATTTTTGCAGTTTATTAACAGGTGGTACAATATCATAAAACTTGGAATTTTAAAATCTGATTTAAATTTATGTACTTGCATCCTAGAGTTCTGCTAGAACTGTCTGAACAGATCTTTCATCTTTTCTGTTGATTTTTAACAACTGCAGGAAAAAGTTGCAAGACTTAAAGAATTTCAACTTCATGCAAACATTAAAGAAAAAAAAAAAAAACAACAGAGAAATGAGATAATCTTGGTAGTTACTGTCTGGTTATCTGACAACAATTTCAGGAAAAATACTGAAAATATTGATATGGGACTGCAGCCACAGAAATTTGATGAAGAGCAATATAATTAATGCTAGTGACAATAGCTTTGCAGAAAGCACATTTTGTCAAATGAACATATATGATGGTATAATGAGATTACAGATTTTTATGAGGCATAAGGTTTGGTACTGTACAAGATTTTGATTAAAAATAAATGAACACTAGTACTGATTGAAATGAATGGCGTTTTATGTTAACTAAATGTAAAATGATAACACAAGCTGTGTTCACATTCTGTAGACTGGCTTCTGAATACACAGACTTGAAAAGAGGACTTAATGTTTATACTAAACAGAGGCAGAACAAGAGCTCCAATGTCTGATTCAAAAGGGAAAAAAAAAAAAAAAAAAGATTAATGTGACTGGTCACTGTGCACATAAAAAAGAAATGAATGAGAACACTGAGGTAAAAACAAGAGCTACACAGGAGGATTCTGGTGTCTGTATTCTTAATGCAGAAAACAGGAAAAAAAAAAAAAAGGCTTATAAAAAGATATCTTGGTCTTATTCTTCCAGTAAGTGTTAATGAGCTCCTCTTGTTTAGACCACAAAGCGGTGATCAAGTGGGTGTGTACATCATGGAGAAAACACAAAGCAATAAAGGCTCTTTATCAAGGCAAACAAGCATAACATGAACCAGTAGCTGGATGTTAAAGCCAGATAAATTCAAATTAGAACTGGGTACCCACGAGTTAACAGTGAAAGGGACTAACCGCTGGAACAAACTGTCAAAGGGAAGTAATGAGTTCTTCAGTTCTTGAGGTCTCGAGGTTGTGCATTTCTGGAAAATGTGCTTTAGCAAACCACTAGTTATTATTTATCTATAACCAAATAATTAACATGGTACATGAGTAATTGTGAAATGCAATAGCCCGTGATATAGGAAGGCAGATTACACTCCCAATGTATGATTTCATAGCTTTACCAGAACTGGGCGCGTGAGCACTTTGCCAGTTACAGATGTTTACACATTGATAAGCAAAAGCCAGTAGAATGAATGAAGAACTGACTCTCCTTTTGCTATCATTTTACAGAATCAAATACGTTGTTATTCTCCTGCCACTTGATCCTGTTCAGCGCTTCCATGTGTTCATGTGCTTCCCAGATGAAAAGCCAACACTTTTAAGCCAACATCTGCCTCTGCTCCTCCAGTGAAAAAACTGCTCAGGCTCATTATTTAGCTCATTTTCTCCTTTTATTTTTAAGAGTAGAACAGTATTGCATCTTTCCCTGATTCATATTCAGTGCTTCTTTTTCAAACATTTAATTTGCAGGTAGCACATTTAACATCTACCAGTTTCACTGACAAAGCACCACTCCATTTCAATGGGCATTAGATGAAACTCATAATCCTTTAGGAATCTCATCTAATGTTAAAGATCTGAAATAACTACAGTTAGGTAAATAAATATTCAGCATCTTCTTATTGCAGATTTTCCCCCTGAGCATTCAATCGTCTTCCTTGAATTTTGCCTGGGTATATCTTTAGTTCTGCTTCCTTCCTAAAGAAATAAAGAATTATTTACATAGGAGTTTTGCCATATCAGGGCCCTTAATTATGATTTCTTTTACTGTGTTCAGAGATATCCTATTTCATCCTTTATCTCTCCTTTCCTCAGCCTACCAGGGGAAAAAAATCTCACTTCCCTTCTACTCTTCTATTGTCTGAAGGACTAGACTTTATTTTTGTACTTATTTTACTTCACCAGCAATTCCTGTTATCTTCTCCAAATTCTTTACATTTTTTTTTCCAGAGTTAGGTTCTGATAGGGAAATGAAAACTTCCAAGAGACTACACTAGGTTATTCTCTATTATTATTATTATTATTAGGCACCTTAATTACACTGTATTTCTTGTTATTTCTTCCATTCCCTTTAACTGAGGTATTTGTAAGTCCTTAGAAGTGCATTCTTATTCCTTGGATTTTCCTTAAGGAACTGGAGACTATCCTATTGTAGATTTATTGCCTTCAAGATGTATATGTGTTCTCTCGTTGGCAGCCACAATAGCCTTGTTTTACACATTTGAATACTGGGACAATATATGCCAATTATGCCCATTAGTTTGGATATATGAGCTTCTTCACGTATTCCTTTCACCTCTTGTTTACTCCTACAGATGCAATTTTGTACTTAGGGATTTTATACCCGTGTGTATTTGTGTACACACTTTCAGCTCAATTTGTTGATATTTTAATTCCAAAGAATCCATGTATACTGTAAAGTTAAATGTGGGAAGTATGTGCAGGACCAGCCTGCTATCCTATTAGCTGGTAAAGTCAAGAAGCACGAATTTATGCTTACAGACCACAAAATGTACATGCCCACTGAAACTACATTTGGTGTGGATTTAAAGGGAAGTTGGAGTGTAGCTGCTATATTTTGCAATGTTTGCAGAACAGCATTTGCCAATGTAAACCTGACTTGCAAACACATGGAGCCTTTCACTGTAAATTGTTTCTCTTTGCTCTAAAAGGGCTCTTTATTGAAAATGGTCTCTCTTTACCTTGTCATCTTGCACTATTTATACCGCCTGGCCATCCTTTTCCTTTCTGTAACACAGGAAAAAAAAAAAAAAAGATAGGCAAATAGTATTATGCCCGGAAAGCTGAAATATTCTTCCTTGAAGCTCCTTTCAAAATATGCAAAGCATATTTAAATTTTATGTTATGGAATCTTGTACTTTACTGGACAAATGCAGGAACTTTCTGCTTACAGTTCTATGTATGGAAAAGAGTCAAACTTATTTGAGAGAGTAACCTGGCAAGAATAAAGGCAGAAACAGTATCATGTGAGTGAAGATTTTTGGCCAACCTTATAGTCAAGCACAGGAAGCAAAATAGAAAGCCTTATTTACTGAAAAAGCTAGATGCTCCTGGTCCTTTAGTTGCCTGTGTTTCTGTATGGATATTGTCTTTTCTTTCAGGATACCTTGGCAAGAATTGAGAGATGGCTTAGAGAAATGTAAACTCTAAACTCTTAGAGAAATGTAAACTCTACTCTAAATTACCCCAAATGTAATACTCTAATGTCCCATAGAACAATTCTATTATAATACTGAGTCCCTCTAATACTCTTCACAGGCAGCAAGGTAATAAAGAAAAAAAAGTGACTAATGGTTCTCTTACAATCTGAATTACTTAACCCCCAATCACAGAAACAACTGTCACCTCTGTGGCCTGCAGAGAATCCTTCAGGTAGGACTGTACAGTTCAAAATAACATGTATGAAATTCTCTGTTTATTTTTTTCTACAGATTTCAGATAGTAACCTGCACAGTTATGTGCATTGAACTCCCCCCGTTGGCATGTGGCAAGCAGTAAGTTTTCAAAGTTGTTGAAATTGAACTTCTTTAAAAAACATTACTAGTCATTAATGATGGTTCATGGATACAAATTTGGAACGTTTCAAAGTGTCATTTTACAAAAGGGAATGTCAGAGACTCAGCCACCACTGTCCTATGAGTTCAAAGAGAAACTGTAAAACCTTGGATCCCTCTGCTTCAGTTCCCCTCTCCTACCCCCATTACCATCAAAGGGTCAGATGATTAATTACAGTTAAGCAAGAAGTCAGCATGCTCCACAGGATCAGTGGATGACCTGGGATGCAGGGAGATGTGCCCTACTCCTGCTTCTGCTGCTGAATTGCTGTGTCACTCATGAAGTCCACTTTGACCATGCTTTTCCTGCTCTTTACCCATCAGTTTGGTATTAGCTTGAGGGCCATAATTATGCCTATCTATTTTACAGTATGCTAAGCCAATGTAGCAAATATTAGTCTGATGAATAACACCATGAGCAATGCATTTTTACAGAACAAATACTGTATTTATATGTATCATATATTTATCATGTTTTTATAGTAAAGTCAACTACTGGGATCTTATGCACAAACTTGAATTTTAGATGCCTAGTGATAATAAAGTTTCTAAAGATCAATTTAAGGTCAGTTTAATAGATGTATGGAACAGGCTGCTGATGTAAACCGTATGCTTGCCATGCAGATTGCACTTAATTAAAGAGGGAAGATCTCTAAGTGGAAGTGGATGCCTTGGGACAAGTACATCAGGTAACATAACACTACAAGTTGAGTTTATCTAGATGATTGCACAGTACATCAACATTTGGCAAAAGGCAGTGCCTGGGGCATCAAAAATATACTGTACATACATACAAAAATGGACTAACAAAGAGTGCAATGATTTCAAGAGTCCCTAAAGGACTCCAAATCTCACTGATCTAGAGAAAGACTTAGATCATGCCACTATCTTCATCTGATTCTGTGATTCAGTCCCTTTACTTGAAGCTAAGTCCATAAGCAAATTAGTTGGTTTATGCAGAGTTACTCACACACTTTACCAAGTCACACTTTACCTTGTTACTCACACACTTTACCAAGTCATAAGAATCTTCAGAAGAATCTAATCTGCTGATTAGATCATCCTATGCCAGACAGCAGCTAAGGAAGAAATGATATTTGCACAGAGAACAACTGAGGAGACATGTGGGATTAAATACATACCAACTCTTTGGTAAGGCTTTACCTGCTATGCCTAATTTTGCAGAAAGATATGGAAAGAATGGAAAGGTTAAAAGGAAGGGCAAAGAATATAAGTAGCTTAGTTCTTAACTTCAGTTATGAATGGAGGCCATGAAAACTCTGTAAATCCATGAAAAGTATTTATTATAAAACAGGAAATCACAGGCCTGATTATGGTGCCACTCTTGAGTGTTAAATTCTAGAACAGACGTCCCACAGGAAAGCTACTGCAGGAAAGGACTTAATACAGGGCATGAATGAAGCACTGTGCCTCAAGGAGCAATGGAATGAACCCAGCCTCCTAAGCCTGTTTTTTCTTCAAAATGAGAGACTTTGCTTGAAGAGGAAAAAGAATTTCCAGTCAGATGGACCAGAATCAATGATGCAAAGGGACTGATGTTAATAGGAATAATTAATGTGTGTTTAAGAAGCAATTATGGCATAAAATTTATCAAACAATAAAGCTAATTTTGATATATGCATATGCAACATAATATTATCATGTGATTAAAATTCATGCTAGAAAACCTGTATGTTCTGTTTGTACTGATGTTAGGTATTCACTACAAGAGAAAAAACATATATTTGCTTTTATTTTTTATTTTTTATCATGAGTTGCTGCACCACCATTGTATTTTGTTGGGGTAGAATATATTCCTTTCAACCATCAGTAGTGAAGAATAACAAGTAACTAATGATCCTGCAGAAAGAAACTTGTATTTCCATTCTGATCTTAAAACAAACAAACAAAAAACAGCAAAAGAAAACCCAATATATTCTACTTTTTCTTTGTCCTGTTTTCTTTTCACCTTGCACACAGCTCATGAACCAGTACTCTCTTGCTTCATTAATGAATTTCTAGCTTACTTCTTCCTCTCCTTCCATCTCAATTTAACACTGGTGATGATTTCTGCTCTCATGTCAGCCTGCACAGGAATCGTAAATGCTACTGCTGAGCTGGGGAACACTGAGCTCCACACCTAGATAAAAGCCTGTGGATCAACAGTGCAGGATCAGGGTATTATCTTCTCAAGGAGGTCTGGATGCTATGGTACCTACTAGTACTGTAGTCTGGATGTTACCATTGTAGCAATTTTATTTCTGTTGCCTTTCAGGGACTGTGACTGTCAGTGCTGTTTCTTTCCCCTTCCTGTCACTGATACAAAGTGACAACACTGACAAAGTTTTTGGGTCACCGCCATACAGTAGTGCCTGACTACAGAGGTCCCTTCCAACCTTTTTTCCCTTGACAAAACAAATGTTCTCCAGGTCCATGCATGGCTGTTGGCAAAGGATATAGGAGACTCTTCTGATGCCCTTGATTTGGGGCACCCTCTCATACCCTAGTACACTGTATACTCTGCAGGAGGGGTTGAAGCCACACTCCTGGATGTGGTCTAAATGAAGGAGTCACTGTAGAGCACCGAGGCCTCAATCCTCCTTCAGAATGTATAAGACAGAGCTGGGCTCTCTTGCTTTTTCAGTGGCTCTCTTAACCTCAACAAGTGCTTCCATCCCCTCCCAGGAGGGGCACAGCAATGCAAGAAGAGGAACCACAGCATCACAAAATGTTTGGGGTGGGAAGGAACCTCTGGAGGCCATCTGGTCCAACCCCTGCTCAAGCAGGGCCACCCAGAACAGGTTGCCCAGGACCATGCCCAGGTGGCTTTTGAAGATCTCCAAGGAGGGAGACACCTCAGCCTCTCTGGGCAACCTGTGCTTAGTTGCAGCACAGCACAGAAGTGCTTCCTGATGCTTGTATGGCACCTCCTGAGTGCTAGTTTGTGCCCATGGCCTCTTATCCTGGCACTGGGCATCACTGAACAGAGCCTGGCTTCGTCCTCTTTGCACCCTTCCTTCAGGTGTTTGTAGACAGTGGTGATTTCAAAGCAACAGTGATCAACGATGATCAGAAGAAAGTGTATTTATTTATTTTTTCCCAGGGAAGTGGTTCAGTCACCATCCCTGGAGGTCTTTAAAAGATGTTTAGATGTCGAGCTTAGTGATATGGTTCAGTGGAGGACTTGTTAGTGTTAGGTCAGAGTTTGAATTAGTTGATCTTGGAGGTCTCTTCCAACCTAGATAATTCCGAGATCCCCCTCCAAGCTTTCTCTCCTTCAGCCTGAGCAGTCCCAGCTCTCATCCTCTCCTCACAGGAGAGGTACTCCAGTCCCTTCATCGACCTGGTGTCCTTCGCTGGACTCTCTCCAGTACACCCAGGCTTCCCTTTTACTGGGGAGCCGCGAGGTGGACCCAGGGCTCCCTGTGCAGCCTCAGAACTGAAGGGAAGGACCACGGGGGGAGTCGCTCCCCAGGTGCAGCCAGGAATACCACCACCAGCAAGGCCACTCCGCTGACTCCCTGCCAGCTCGGCGTCCCCCGGCACTCCCAGATCCTTTCCTCCAGCAGCCCCCAGCCCCCGGGGCCGTCCCCCTGCAGGCGCAGCAGGACTTTGCCCTTCCCCTGTGCTCTCCCCGCCTGCCCTTGCCACAGGCGGGGGTACAGCCCCGGGGCAGGGAGAAGCCGGGGCAGGGCAGGGGGAAGCCGGGGCGAGCGGCGTCCCCCGGGGGCCGCCTTCACACCCTCCGCCGGGGGCGGGCCGCCGCGGGGCGGTCGTACTCGCTCGGCTCCCCCCGCGGCATGAGGCAGCGCTGGCTGCCCGCGCCCCGCTCCGCCGGCTGCCACCGTTCCTCCGCCCCCAGCCCCTGCCCCGGCCCCTGCCCCGGTCCCCGCCGCTGTCGCAGCGCCGTGAGGCGGCCTCGCCCCTCGCGCAGCCCCCGCCGTGCCCCTCCGGGAGGAGCCGGGGCCGCCCATGGCCGCTGACAGGAGCCTGCTCGGGGGCGCCGAGCCCTGCCCGCGCCGGGAGGAGGCTCCCGAGTGGGGCTACGAGGAAGGTGAGGGGCCGGGCGGGCTGCGGAGGGGACAAAGTTTGGGTGGCCGGGGGGGCTCCGCTGTCGTCGTCTGTCCGTCTGTCTGTCCGCCCGGTGGCTCCGGTCGCGACATAACGGCTTCTCCCGGCGCTGCAGGGGTGGAGTGGGGGCTGCTCTTCCCCGAGGCGAACGGCGAGTACCAGTCGCCCATCAACCTCAACTCCAGGGAAGCCAAGTACGACCCCTCGCTCCTCGACGTGCGCCTGTCGCCCAACTACGTCGTCTGTCGCGACTGCGAGGTGATCAACGACGGGCACTCCATTCAGATCGCCCTCAAGTCCAAGTCAGGTATAGCGAGACACCGCGTACACTTTTCCAGTGGCCTTCCCCGAGCGCTAAAAGCTCATATAGTGCCTTAAAAGTGTGTCCTGGAGCATAGGAGGGAGCTGCTGCCAGCCCCAGCTGCTGTGCTGCTTCTGACTTAAATGGGAGCAGGAGCTGCAGGTTTTGATGCCAAAGGGAATGGATGGTCATTGGGATTTCTTCAGAGTGAGTTTGGGGTTCCCTGCGGTGGTGGTGTCGTCTGTTTCAGTGGCATTAACAGCTGGCTGTTGTCAGAAGCAGTGCGGGCTGCTGCACAGACAGTGTGATGCTCAAACTGCTTTGTACAGCTGGCAAAATTCATCTGTGGTCCAAAGACCGTGTAAGTTAAGGTAAAGTTTTTCTGTGCATACGAGTAGGCTGCCAATGCTAACTGCACAACTGGACAACTTAAGAAAGATGCTCCAGTTACACATACTTACAATACTGATAAGGAGCAGGTAGCATTGCAGGTAGCA